ATTCTAAATTCTTCCTCTCCAAGTTGAAAACTAATCGCTTCAGCGCTTTTAAGGTGCCTTGCTAACGTAGGGATCTACCCTACAGATACTCGTGATGAGCAGCGTAGGCAGAGATTTCTGCCATGGACACCAGAACAACATTATCAGGCAGATTTGACTAGATCATTCTTAATGGATCCCATAGAACATTGGGTAGGCAAATCTGTACTAGTCAGAAAGTATAGAAATATTTGTACTCATTTTTAATCACATTACTTGGAGGGACCTGCTATTTTCCACGAAAATCTGATCAGCATGCATCATCTCGGTCCTGAGCAGATTCGACTGATCGATGGGCTATTGTATGGCGTTGCTGCTGGCCTATGGAATCGAACCGCTGTTACTGTGGACAAGGCACTCAGATCACCGGAATCAAAAGCAGTTTGATTTTCTTTTATCAGTAGTGTTGACGAGAGCTTCGCTGCGCTTAAAGTGGAAGCAAAAAATTTTCTGTTATATTTCTGTTTTTCCTTCAGCTTCGATACTCAGGTAGCAATGCATTCAGGAGTGGATGCGTTAGAAACATAGTGTTAGCAATTTGTTGTATAGCACTGTAGTGTAGACTGCTTATGTGTTGTTTAATTAAAACATAGGGGACAACTAGCATTTTATGTTCTAGTTGCATTGCCTTCTATTGTAAATTTCATAAAGCTGTGTTAGATTTATGGGAAATTGAGTGACAACAACACTGTACAGTTTTATGGAACTTCATGCTAGTTCCTGCATAAAAACGATGCAATAAATTCTTTTTTCACGCAATTTTCTGATCTGCAACTGTTTTTGAGGCAAACTTCTTGAAGATTATAAGCTAGCAAAATTTAGTATGAGATTTACTATAGTTCAAGTTGCTGAAATCAATTATAAATCTTATATTCCTCTCGAATACCAATGCGCTAGAAATGAATACAGCTTGGTGATTGTTAAGTGTGATAAGCAGTTTGATCCAGAGACTACTTTACTCATATCAAGCAAGTGGCCCCCTTTCAAAGAAAGTTGTCACTAGTGAGTGCGGAGATAATTACCCTTCTAATCTGACTCCGTGTTGGTCTACCGCCTCATCGTGGCGCGAGGGTGACTCTTGGTGTCGAACTGCGAAGTACAGCAGAGGTTTATCCTCCAGCAGGGTCTCCCAAGCTGAGAAGGAGTTCGA